AGTATGATGGCTTTTTTCGAGGAATTTCGTCGTGGTTCTCCTTCAATCGGGGTTCGTTCGGTGCTAAATTTGTAATTATCGACGATTGTGCCTGGGATAGGCAGATCAATGTTCTTCCCTTTCAGTTCTCCGTAGATTTCATGCGTCAATCCCATTTCTGCCGCTACGTTGGCAAAATAATTCGGTGGTGAGATCGGAAAGAATTTTGAAATCCTGAAGATCATCGACAAGTGCACTACATAAGCAAATAGACTATTAACTTCATTCTACCTTTTCACTCTTGAATTTTCTATTTACCGAATCCGTATCCGTCCCTTGTTCTTGGCCCTAGTGCAATTGCGCTCGGGTTCATTAACGCCTCCACTTCGTTTTCTTTGGGATCTTCCTTGTCCAGAATGAACACGGCGGACGCTTCGATGGTTCCCAGGTTAATTGTTCCGCCCTCAATTACTTCCATTTGTGACATATCTGTAATATAACTCCAGCTATTAATGCTCTTCCTTTATTTTTTCGCTTTCTTATATACCTGTTCTTTCCACATCGGGTTCTACGTGTAGCTTTAAGGATTCACGCCAGATTTTTTCTAGTGCTCTTTCCTTTCCCACGTGTAGCGTTACGTTTCCCAACTTTATTTCGATTGTATCGCCTGCAAAATAAGACTTTCGTTCTTAACATATTCTTAATTCTCCATATTTTTTACGTACCGATGTTCTTTACTTCGTCATTATTGTTCAAACTTAGGAACAGTTCTGTTGGTTCCGTAAAACCTCGCAATAGGTGATCTCGATCCACTTTTGTTATTGCCGTAAAGGCCTTTCGTAGTCTCGTCATTGCTGCCTTTTCGGCCTTGTTTGAGTCTTCAATTAGGCGACGACGGGCGTTTAGCGTTGTTACCATTGTTGTCTCTGACTGTGCCAGTTTCACATGTTCCTCTTCCACTGACATTAACTTCGCCTTCTTTCGGTTCAACGACGCTTGGGAACCTTCTATCATTCTGTCGCACAGGAACTCGTTCTTTATCACTGCCAGACATTCCACCAGACGTTTCCACGAGTCCAAGCTTAGCTTCTCTAGTTCATTCATGAAGTCGGTTGCAATCGTCGGGAACCTCACTGTTCGTTCTTCTTGTTTGTTTGGTTCATTTCCTGTAAATTATGAAATATGCAATTGTTTCAGTTTTATCGGCACCATGTTACAGTAGTTTGTTATTCAAAGACTACTTTTAGCGCCCTCACGGTGGTAATGGCTCCGTAAGCCACGAATTACGATGGTTGGGCCCGCGCTTCTGGCGATTTCTTTTTAAAAAAAAAAAAAGTTT